TGTGTGTGTGTGTGTGTGTGTGTGTGTGTGTGTGTGTGTGTGTGTGTAATATGAGTGCCACAGTGAGTGAGAGTCAGAGGACAGCTTCCAGGAGCGAGGGCTCCTTCCACCGAGTGAGTTCTGAGGACTGCACTCAGGTCATCATCGGACATTGAGGCAAGCACTTTGACGCTCTGCGCCATATCGCTGGCCCCTAGAACTTTTCTGTGACGTCTTTAGAGGCCGGAGTCGAGCCGAGCCGCAGGGCAGGTTGTGATCGAGGAAAAGATCACTCAGGGCAGGGAACTGGACATACGTGCCTGCGTGGGACCGTGCCTGACTTGAGCAGGTTGTGGGTTTGCGTCCAGTTTGAACAGGAAGGGTGATGTGGTAAAGCAGGGTGGAGGACATCCTAAGGCAAGCGTCAACATCTTTGGACGAGTCTTGAAGGTTGCTTAAAGGGTTTTGAAACAAAAACGTGTCTCACAGAAGGGTGAGCAAGGCTGTTCCAGGAGTCACCTAGGTAGGAAACTGCACTGGGAGCCGTGAGGAGCAAGGACAGGAGACATCGTATTTATTTTTTAGTGTGTGCACGTGTGTGCACGGCTGTATGTGCCCATACATGTGCTGAGGCCAGCGCAGGACCTGATGGAGACCTGCTCTCACCGCTCTCTGCCTTATTCCTTGAGGCAGGCTGTCTCACTGGACCTGGAGCTAGGCTGGAGGCCTGAGCAAGCCTCAGCAATCTGCCTGGCTAGGCACCCTCAGTGCTGAGGTTATGGTGCCCAGTGTGGCCATACCAGGTTGGGATTTGAACTCGGGTCCTCTGGCATGTGGGAGCGCTCTTGTCCACTAAGCCATGTCCACAGCCCAGAGGTGACATAGTAAGACCTATTAATGTATGTTGGTGATAACTAGGTAAAGGTACTTCTGCACGTGGATCACCTCTCTGAAGTACCCATCCAGGACTTTGGACTGGGAAAACCGGAAAAATGCCAAGGTGCCTGAACAAACAAGAAATCAAGAAGGGAAATTGACCAAGGCAGTGTTAGGGGGATTTTGATGGCCTGACTGTAGACACTGACAGCAGTTATAGAGCACATTCATTATGCAGGCAGGGTTTTAATGTTCTCTGGTCATTTTCTATTATGAAACTTTTGCAAGCCCCAAAAATAGGTCTTGTTGACTACAACATACATATGGAGAAACAGCAAAAGGAACTAAAATCTAGTAAAGGTTCCATTTAGAATGGTGGGAAGAGGAAGCTGAGATAGTCTATGCTACTGTCCAGAGGAAGTCTGGGCTCCTGTCCTATCACTTACCCAAGGAGTAACCAGAGGGAAAGCTTCAAAGAAGTGGGTGTTTCTGCTTCAAAGCCTACAGACAGGACAGGTGGGAAGACTGGGACCGGCAGAGCCTGTAAAGGCTACACAGTTGCCTCAGCGCTGGAACATCTGCCTAGAATCCTGGGTGAGGGGCTGGGGCCTGCTGGATGACTTGGTCAACACCCCTGAGGTTTTGCTCAGCTTGGCTCTCAGGAGTTACAGGTGAAGCCTGGTGTTTCAGGGCGAGAAACAGGGAGGCACCACCGGCACAGAGGGTTTAGGTGGGCCTGTGGCAAAGTGTAAGGGGAGACCACAACAAGTATGGGAGCCAGGGGTCCTGTGCCTTGAGTTTGCTCCTAAGTCTGGGCTCTCACTTTTTGCTCCTACCCTCTTCCATCTGCATGCAGTCATCGGGGGACCTTGAAAATGATGAGCAGGCAGCCAGCGCCATCTCAGAGCTGGTCAGCACAGCCTGTGGTTTCCGGCTGCACCATGGCACCAATGTACCTTTCAAACGCCTGTCTGGTAAGCTCCTGCCTTTGGTGGGATTGCTTCTAGAGGCCTCTCTGCCCAGGAAACATACCTGGCTCTGTTCCATAGACTCCCAACTCCCCCACTGTCCCTGGTTCAATTACTGCCTTCTGTTTGAGATTCCTCTAGTATTGAGAACCAAGAAATACGAGAAGGAAGGGTTTCACAGCTGTCTCTCCTCTGGGAACTACATAATTGCAGTGTCCCATTCCAGCCAATTCTGTTGTAACCCCCTGAGAGGCCACCAGACCCACTAACCCCATGCTCCCTTCCCTCTGCAGTGGTCTTTGGCGAGCACACGCTGCTTGTGACCGTGTCGGGACAGCGGGTGTTCGTGGTGAAGAGGCAGAACCGAGGCCGGGAGCCTGCTGATGTCTGAGTGGCAGAAGGCACTGGCTGGAGAAGCGGACTGCGGTGGGGCCTGTGATGGAGGACACCGTCTCCTACCATTTTCACTGCTGGAACTGGGTGTGGGCCCAGCACCCCCTCACCCTCGCCCAAGGCCCAAAGGCTTTACGTTGAGGGAAACTATGACAAGGGGACCCCGTCCTTCCCTTCTGCACAATAAACACCAGTCCAACGGTTCTGGGGCAGAAAAGTGTGCACAGAATGCGTTGTTTGAGGGGGGGTGAGGCTGCAGCCCGAGCCTGTCTTCAGCCTTCTATGGAGACAGCTGTACCTCAGTCCCTCAGTGGTGGGCCGAGACCACCACTAGGCATTGTAACATTGCAAATGGAAGGCAGGTGTGGTGTGCACCTGTAACCCTGGCATCAAGTTTCAGACAGCCTGGGCTGCTGCACTGGGGGCGGGGAGGAGAGGTTTAAAAAAAAAAAAAAAAGGTAAAACTAGGAGCTGAAGAAGCATACATAGGAAGACAGCTGTTTGTGTACTGAGGCCATCTCCCCATGGTGAGCACAGAGACAAAGTCATCCTCCCTCCCACGCAGTTTTTAACAGTTTTACTTCAGTTGGAAGCTGTAGAGAGAATAAGTTACAGGAACAGACGAGAAACAAGAAAACAACTTAAAGTGCTTCGGGCTGCCAACGTAAACATGAGGGGCAGAAAGAGGCCACCTAGCTATGTCCCCACCCCTGAGACAGGAGAGTCATTTGTCACTGTGGGTCCCTTTACCACTACCACCCTCTAATCTCAGCCCTGCGGGTGGGTGGAAAGGAATTGTGGAGGCAGAGAGGACTGAATAGGACTGAGAATAGTGTAAACTCGGGACAAAGTGAAGGGTTGGTTGGGGCAAGGGAGCTCCTGCAGCCCTTGCCCTGCTGGGGTGGGGCCAGCCCCCCCTTACAAGGACTTAGGGAATACTGTTGGCTGAGCTGCAGCCGTACTACCCATTTCACAGCTTCTCCTCGTCCCTCATCAGCAGACACAGATAGGCAGCCGTGGAGCCTCTCTGCCCACAGTGGGAGGCGCAGCCTAGGAGCATGGAGCCCGCTGGGCGGAGGGTTTCTTCGGTGTCTGGAGCATAGTCGGCAAAGGGGCGCTACTTGACCGGCTCGACCACCAGGACTTTGCACTCACGCTTGGCAATCTTGTCTAGGGAAAGCACAGCCTTGTCCGGGGGTAGGTAGAGAGGCCGGCCGACAGGGGAGGCCACAGGAGGTGTGATGGCCCTGCGTTCCATCACGCTGCCTGACCTGGAAGGGGACGGAAGACTGTAAGCTCCGTCATGGTACAGCATCCCACCTGACCCCAGCTCTCTTCTTGGTCACACTGACACCAGTCCAGCTCCCTTACCTCATGAGGTGGCTCCGGGAAGGCTGTTGGTGGGAGAAGGACTGAGAACGGCCTAGGCTGGCCTGGTGCCTCTCCACCAGGTCCCGGACAGCGGGGCTGCTGGGGCTGCTCTTGCGGGACAGGGGCCTCGCCTCGGGTGGAGGGTGGGACACACTGGCGGTGAACTGGAGCTTTAGTTTCATGTGCTGGCTCAGCTGGGTAGGAAGATGCAGACCTTCACACACAGACCCAGGGTGGACAGGGCTTCTACCTTTCCTGCGCCCAGCCTTCTCGTGCCACCCAAGACGTTTCCCCTCTAGAAGCTGCAGGACCTGACTAGTCCACCCAACACTGGGCCCACCTCAAAGAGCCCCGTCCTCAGGGCCTGGAAGGCCACGCTGAAGGTGAGCGCGCTGCCCTTCCTGGAGAAGCCGAGGTTATTGAGGGGTGTGTGGCAGACGATGGAGTCCAGGGCGGCTTGCATGGCCCGCCGCTCCTCCTCACACAGCTGCTTTCCTGGGGGCAGAAACATGCCCGTCAACACTGGACAGCTTTCCTCAGTGTCCACAGGCCTTTACCAGTGTGTTGGGGGCAGGGTGTTCAATTCGCAAGTGCTCTATGGGTAACCTGGGTAACTGCTCCCTTTTGCTGAGGGTCACAGACAACAGTGGTTAGTGCTGTGTGCTGGGGTCTGCTCGACCCACACCATGCACTAGCTCCGTTAATATGTACAAGCCATCAGATGTTATTTTAAAGAAGATGGAAGCTCAGAGAGATGAAGTAACTTCCCCAAGGTCACACGGTAGTAAGTAGGGGGGAATTGTACCAGAAAACACGTCTAGTTAGTGCCTCTGCCCGATGCCTAGTTCAACCCCCATCTGTGACCCTGGCTGACCGGCCAGGTTCTCGGCATCTGTAAGCCCAGGTGACCGGCCAGGTTCGAGGCAGAGCCATCCATGTACTGCAGCCACCCAGCAAGGTGGGGCAGGCACCACTGTGAGCTGTTCGCCCTTGCCTCTTATCCCTTTTCCTGTCCCTCCCAGGGAACAAGGCCTGGCAGGTGACACCCACCAGCCTGTGCGTGTTCCGGGGTCCACACAAGCCTCACAGCAAGGAAGTCTTGGAGGTTGTTGAGCAGCGTGTAGGTGACAGTGAAACGCTCGTAGGTCCGAACAGGGGACTCACAAGAAGCAGTCATCACAAAGCAGGGGCGGTCTAGGCGGACACTAGGAAGGCTAGGAGCGGTGAGAGAGGAAGCTGGGTGTTTGGTGTTAGGCAGAGGTGAGGAGCAGAGTGCTGCTGGGTCTTCCACTTACTCACCGGTAGTGGGTGTAGATGCTCTGGGTGAAGGGCAGCTTTGGGGTGGACCACTGAACCACGGCAATCAACGGGACCTCAAGACCCTGCAGACGGGACAAGGGGAGACTTCCCATGTTCAGAGGCCCATGGCCTTTCCCTTCCACTGTCTTTTCTTTGAGACAGCTCTCAGCCCAGACTGGTCTCCAACTCGTCACATAGCTGGGGGTGACCTTGACCTTGTGATCCTCCTGCTACCACCCAAGGGCCTGCCACTATGCCTGCCTTATGCAATGCTGACAGAACCCAGGGTTCTGTGCTCGTTAAGCAAGCACTCCACCAACTCAACAGTTTCCGCTGCTCTCATTTCTGTGAAGATACCAGCTCACCTCCTTCGCCCCAGGAGGGGGCTGCTCACCCCCTCTCAGCTGAAACAGGAAGTTGTGTTCCTCCAGGGCACCAAGTGGGCAGGGGAAGTAGCCGGAGGTACCAGGAAGCCGACAGAAGGAGCCCATGGAGACTTCCCCAGACTGGTGACTAGTTGGGAAGAGAAGGCGGCAGTGGCATGAGCTTGCATGGCCTGCATCCGACCCGCCACTCAACACCCGTCTCTCCCCAGGACCTCACCAGACATTGTCCACCAGCAGTACGGACCCGTCAGGCATGACAGGTAGGTAACTGGCGTTGAAGTTGGGCAGGATTCGGATATCCCAGATGGAGATCTCTTCCTGGGAAGAGCTGTTCAGCACTGCGTAGGGCAACAAGCCCAGCTCAGAGCAGGGAGACCACTTCCCCACCCCAACTCCACCCTTACCAAGCATCACGGTCCTCCAACCCCTTCCCTCGCTGCTATTCAAGCTCACCCTTGAGCACAGTCAAGTGTTTTCCGGCCACAGTGAACTGCCGGCATTTCAGAACTGGAGGAGGCAGCAGCGTCAGCAGGGTGCTCACTGCGGACAGGAGGCAAGCGATCAGACCTCCACCCCGTTCTTCCCTTCCCTTCCCTTCCGTGCGCTCCCTCTCACCCACTCCTCTCCAGCCTCCCCATCTCCCCCACCTTGAGCCTTGAAGGCGCTCTGTTCTCCACGGAAAGTGTCCCCAGGAGATCTCGTCTGCAGCAAGCGCAGGTAGCCTTGATCTCTGACTTCTGGTGCCTCGACCTCCCGCTTCCATACAGTCACTACAATCTAGGTACAGGAGCCATCGGCCCATATCACGAGGAGTGATACATGGGTCTTGAAATGTCACCCGAATTCTAGGTCAACAGCGCCAGCTCTGCCATCCTACCTTGGCCTTGGGTGTCCCTGGGGGCAGTCTATCCAATGAAACAGTGAGTGGGAAGATGACCTCATCTGTGGACACTATCGGCTCTTCCACAGGCAGCTAGGGGTTGTGAAAGGGGTGAAGAAGTCAGGAAGGTGTCAAAGGCGCAGGATCCTTTAACCTCTCTGCAAGACACAGCAAGTCTTTATGCCCTCCCCTCGCTGTCCTTCGTCTATCTTAGGTCCCTCCGCAAGGCTGGACAATGCTGTCATCTACCTCCTGCATGACGTCCTTAAGGAGTCCATGCCCCAAACTGCCTCTCTCGCTTCCAGCAAACCTCCCCTCAGCCTTTGTCACCCAGAGATCCTCACCGTGGTCGCTCCCCCTGAGGTAGCAGGGCCCGGGCCGTGGGTGAGAAGGGGGCTGCAGCCCCGAAACAAGCCTCCTCCCCCCGGGTCCCCTCCCCCCGGGGGCTCCGCATCCTGGTCGCCGGCGCCGCCACTCCCTGGCAGGGCCCCTCCGGCGCTGACCGAGGCCAGGGCGGCCAGGGCGGTCGCCAGCTCGGTCCAGGCCCCTCGGGATGCCAAGCCCGTGCCGCTCCCGACGCCGGGCCCCGCGCCGCCTCGGCAGCGCAGCACCAGCAGGAAGCGGACTGTCTCCCCCAGGTAGAGATGGTTGCGCCGGGGCAGCGCCCGGTACCGGCCCGGGTCCCCAGCCAGCTCGGCGCGTGGCGGCAGCGGCACGGCCGGGAAGTACATCGAGTAGTCGCACTGAGACTCCATTGGGCGGGGAGGGCGACGCCACCCGGCCCGGGGCGGCGGGGAGCTCGGCCGGCGAGTCCCGACGGCGTCGGACCGCTGCTCCGCCGGGCAGCGGGAGACACCGGCCCGGCCCGGAAGCCAGGGAAACGAACCCGGAACCCAGACCCGGGGGCGCCGGAACTGGGGTGCGGGGCTGAATGACTGGAGAGAAAGCGGAAGCGGAAGGGAGGGGGCGTGGCCTCCGAGGTTTCATGGCTGGGAGGGAAGTGAGTGCGGGCTGCTGGGGAGCTCGTAGGAGGCTGGACAGGCTTCTTTAGGTGGAATTCATTTTTATTTGTCCCTGCTTCCCTCTCGCTCTCCTCATTCCTTTCTTTCTCTCCTTTTCCTTCTCCTTAGCTCTCTTCCCTAACTTTCTTTTCCCATTCTCTCACCCTTACCTTTTTCCTGATTATTTATTTATTTATTTTTATTAATTACACTTTATTGACTTTGTATCCCCCCTGTAGTTCCCTCCCTCCTCCCCTCCCAACCCCTCTCTTCCTCCCCCTTCTCCACGCAAGCCCCTCCCCAAGTCCACTGATAGGGAAGGTCTTCTTTTCCTTTCTTCTGATCCTAGTCTACTAGGTCTCATCAGGAGTGGCTGCATTGTCCTCCTCTGTGGCCTGGTAAGGCTGCTCCCCCCTTAGGGGGAGTTGATCAAAGAACAGGCCAATCAGTTCATGTCAGAGACAGTCCCTGTTCCCATTACTATGGAACCCACTTGGACACTGAACTGCTATGGGCTACATCTGTGCAGGGGTTCTAGGTTATCTCCATGCATTCACCCTTACCTTTTATAACAGCATCTCCTGTAGCCCTGTATATGGCTGAGGATGAACTCAAACTTTTGATCCTCTTACCTCCGTTCTCCAGAGTGCTGGCATTACAGGCATGTGCCATCTTGTCTGACGTATGCAGGGCTGGGGAATTGAGCCCAGGGCTTCAAGCATGCTAGGCAAACCCTCTACAGCTGAGCTCCATGCCTGTCGTTTTCCTGGATTGTTGTTTCTCGGTGGTATGTGTGTATATGTATGTATGTTATGGGCATACCGGAGCTTCAGCCTCGTGCTAGATAATTCGTTTTACCAATGGCTGTATCCCCAGCCTTGAGGAAATATTGAAAGAACCACTTTCAGCCTAATTTCTATTCAACAAAAGATTCTCTATCTCTTCCCTACGTAAAACAAATAACTGGGCTCTGAGGTTAAGAGCACTTGCTGTTCTTGCAGAGGGCCAGGGTTTGGATCTGAACGCTTGGTGGCTCACAATCATTGGTAACTCCCAATTCCAGGAGCTCTATGGGCACCAGGCATGCACACTTACACATGCAGGCAAAACACTCATACGCATAAAAGAAATCAATAATTAAAAAAGTAAATGTTTCATAGCATTTATTCATCCAACAAATATTTTCACAGTAAAATCGACGCAGTTTCTTAACAAATATAGAGAAATGGATGTATCATGTCCCAAACTTTCTCTGTCTCAGTGTCATCTTCTGCCCCTCCAGGGGGCTTTGGGAACTGCTACATGACTCTGTCTTGAGGCTTGAAGAGGCAAAATGAGGGGCAGGCAGGGGATGGAGGGGCAGATGCTGCTGGGATTCCCACAGAAAGTCCAGACAGCTCCAGTCTCCCCTCAGAGCATACTTCCTGTTCCTTCCAAGGGAAGCAGAGCTGCGGAGGCCCTCCGTGCATCACAGGTGTCCTAGTTTGTAGTCTGATTCCTACGGGGGCGCTAGCCTTGAGGCCTTGATAGGCAGGGAGGCAGTTGGGGGAAACTGCTTAGCATCCAGTTTGTCCTTATACTGCAGCTCAGGGGTGGCCAGGCGCTCACATTCCTCCTGATCTTTCTGATTGAGCCCACTCTGAAGCACATAGCCCAGCACTTTAGCTGAACCAAACTGAAAAGGCCGGAGCCTTATGTCGGTGATGTATTTGGGGTCCAGAGCCCCACCTCCCATCAGGCAACGTTTCGCCAGAGCTTCTCTTCGAGCCCGGAGCTCAGCCACAGCACGATGCAGCCGACTCCGGCCGTAGTGTTCTATCCGGGCCCACAGACTACGGTTGAAGTGGATATAAAGAGCCCAGTCTAGATTGTTCCAAGCTCGGGCCCGTGCAGTCAGCTGTGGATCTTCGCCAGTCACGGCACTCTTACTGGCAGTCCTGAGCCTCTGCTCACCTCCAGCCTGGGCATTGTGCATGAAGCCCACCACGTCATCCAGACTCCAGCACAGAGCATCTGCCAACAGAACCAGTGACTCGTCAAAGTACTCGGCCACCATGACCAGGTCAAAGACAGAGTCCAACCAGGCCAGACCCCACTGGATAAAAGACGAGGGCTCAGAATCTGGAGAGGCAAGGCTGGCTGGCTGCTCATAATTTGCAGGAGCTGTGGTGATAGCTGGAAAGAGCTTTCCAGGGCCAGCACCAGAAGGGATGGCATGTGACTGGAAGGGTTTGGGGTCCCTGAGTACATGGGGACTCATTCTCCTGGTCTTCGTCTCTGGGGGGAAGGGCAAGCCAAAGTCAAACCACAGTAAGTTGCGGGCGTAGTAGTTGCCCCGGCCGCCGGGTCTGTAGAAGGCTCGAGGGTTGGACAGGAAAGCTGCCAAAGATGGTGCCTTTCGGAAAGCTGAGGAAGTTGATTTATAGTAGGAGAAGGCGGAGCGGGCTAGAGCTGCTGGATCCCGGACAATGGAAAAGAAGAAGCTGTCAGAAGGCATGACCTGAAGCACCTGCAGGAGAGGAGACACAGAGAGAAAAGGCTTGACTGAGGAGGAAATAAGTACAAGCTAAGGCTCTAACGAGCCCTCAGAACTCCACTGTGGACCCTCAGCTCCCCCACTAGCTGTGTGATCTTGGGGGAATTATACAACCACCTCAGAGATGCAATTTGCTTGTCTGTAAAAGCAAAGTAATCAGAGGTTCCTGGGTGATTGAGAAGTACACAGGAGATAACAGCCAATCAGAAATCTGGAACACACAACGCTCAGATCTTTAATCTTCTTGGGTCTTTGTGTCTTCCTTGGTTGCTAAAAACTCAAACCTGGGCTGGGGAGATGGCTCAGTCAATAAAGCGTTTGCCACATCAGCGATGAGGACCCCAGTTCATGCTCCCAGCACCCACATAAAAGCCAGGCAGAGTGGTGCTCACCCATAAGCTCAGTGCTGAGGAGGCAGAGACAGGCAGAACCCTGGAGGCTACCTGATGCCCCCCCCCCCCCAATCTCTAGGAAACAAACTTTCTGATCACTTCTACAACAAAAATCTATTCAGGTTGTGTGTGTGCATATATGTGAGAGCTCGGATGTGTGCATTTGTGCATGTGGACTCTGAGGTGGGGACCTCATTCTTCAGGCATCATCTACCTTTGTTTTCAATATAGCATCTCTCACTGGCCTGGAACTTATCAACTAGGAAAACCTGGCTAGTCAGAGAGCCTCGGGAACTCTGCTGTCTGCCTCAGTGCCAGGAACACAGTGCCTTCTACCATGCCCAGTTTTTTTGACGTGGGTTTTGGGGACGAAATTCAAGTTCTGTTGTAAGCATTTTACCCTATCTCCCCAGCCCTGCCCTCTTTCTGAGATAGGATCACACTTATGTGGCCCAGGGTGACCTTGAACTCCTGCCTCAGCCACCTGAGCATTGCAATTATAGATGGACGCCAACATGGCCAGCACAAAAACCTGTTAAATGCCTTTTCTGGGACTCTTGGTCACAGCTTCAAGAAAGCAACTGGCCTTGAGGCCCTCAGGGTGGAAGGAGAGAGATGTCCAAGATGGCTGCAGCACAAGGCACTTCTGGAGCTCCAGAGGAACTTGGGGAACAAAAGATACTCCCGAAGTGGGGAATTGGGGGAGGGGGTGCTGGAAAACGGGTAGGACTATAGTCTGGGATGTGTGTCTAACACATCAGGCACCCTGAAAATCAGGCTGAGTGGCCTCAGCACCCCTGTAGTGAGCCGGGCACCCTGAAAATCGGGCACGCTGAGTGGCCTCAGCACCTCTGTAATGAGCCGGGCACCCTGAAAATTGGGCTGAGTGGCCTCAGCACTCCTGTAATGAGCCGAGTATCCCTGCACATGCCAGTAGTGAGGAATAGGCAGAGAACGACGCTGATGACCCTGCTCTCTTCCAGGCTTCCTTGTACACACACACACACACACACACACACACACACACACACAATAAATATTTAGATGAGCCAGGCATGGTGGCACACGACTCTAATCCCAGCACTCAGGGAGGCAGAGACAGGCAGATTGCTGTGAGTTCAAGGCCAGCCTGGTCTACAAAGTGAGTCCAAGCCAGCCAGGGCTACACAGAGAAACCTGTAACAAAAACCAACCAAACAAATAATAAGTCTTTAAATGAATTAAGTTTGGATCAATCTCCAAAATGATAATAGGAACCTATTTGGGATTTAAGGTATTATACCGTGCATCTGGAAACTGAGTAGCAAGGCATCCATTAGTCTTTAACTGTCTTCTCCAAAAGGGTTCTCGAATTGCCAAGACATTCCCTTCACAAAACTTCCTCTATCACCCCAACTCTACAGGAAGCAGTCAGAGAACAAAGGACCATTCCCATTTCATGGAGTGATGATTTAAGAGTGGGGCTATGTCACAGACTGAGAGAAAAATGGAGAGATGGCCTGGTGCACAAAGCACCGCGCAAGCATGAGGACCTGGACCCCCACGCCCCGTGTAAATGAAGCTGGATGTAGCAGCACGCTTCTGTAATCATTAGTGGGGAGGTGGAGAGCCGAGTCCGGAACCCCACAGAGCAGCTAGCCTGGAATACATAGCCACAAACTGCAAAAAAGGCTCATCCTGTCCCCACATGACGGCTGTGGACTGACCTCCACAGGGCGGCACACACATGCCTGTATCAGCTGTGGACAAACATCCTACACACGAAGATTTTTTTAAGTTCTTTTCCTTAACTGTTTTGTTTGATTTGATTTTCTTCATTAATATGGGTGTACCCAGAAGGCAGAGCCTTTGAACTCAGTTTTTTTTGAAAGCAGAAGTCAGGGACTGTCTCTAACATGAACTCAGTGGCTGGCTCTTTGACCTCCCGCCTCCCACCTCGAGGGAGGAGCAGCCTTGCTAAGCCATAGAGGAGGACATTGCAGCCAGTCCTGAAGAGACCTAATAAGCTGGGATCAGATGGAAGAGGAGGAACCCCCCTATCAGTGGACTTAGAGAGGGGCAGGGAGGAGATGAGGGAGGGAGGGCGGGATTGGGAGGAAATGAGGGACGGAGCTACAGCTGAGATACAAAGTAAATAAACTGTAATTAATACAAAAAAATAAAAATTTAATTAAAAGAAAGAAGTAAGTAGTTAACTGTCTTTGGCATCAAACATAACTTCACAGTTCCATCATTCGCTCCCTGTGTGACTTTGGTATGTGACTGATGTTATCAGAGCCTTTGTTTCTTAGGGTTTAAATCTGGAGACGTGGAGGTGCCTGGAGCACAGTAGGTCATCAGTGACTGGCAGCGACAACTGGGGGCACCGCTCAACCATTGGAGGGACTTGGGCCAGTGATCCTGTCATTGTCCCACTCTCGACAGCTGCCCCAAGGGCCCCCTCACAGTCCTCAACCGTCTCCCGTTCTCCTTCAACAGGGTGCACTGGGCTAACTCGTGGAAGGCTGAGGAAAGAGGATACTGAGAAGTCAGGGAAGCCCGGGGTACGACACTAAGAGCCCGTTTGAAAAGGAAAAGTTTTCGCAGTCTCTGCTGTTTTGTTCACTGCACAGACTCTCCCAATACACACGTGCATTCAGGCATGGCTGTGTCTTCGTGATGGTTTGCTTCCTCTAAGAGTGCTTATTCTGAGCTAGAGAGAGAGCTCAGTGGCTTGCCTAGCATGTGGGGGAGCCCTGGGCTCAATCCCCAGTACCTCACTAAAAGCAAACAAAAGAAAACCACTCAGAGTGTCTGGTGTGTGCTGCTGGGCGGTGTAGTTCACACCTATGATTCTAGCACTCTGAGAGCTGATAGAGGAGTCCTGCGGAGGGTTCTAGGACATTCTGGGGTGACGGTGAGTGTCATGATGGTGCCTGTCTCAAAAGAAAAGAAATCCCTGAAAGAATGTGTGAACTGGATAACTGGCTCACTCTGTACAGTGCTTGCTGAGCACACACGAAGCGCCAGCTCTCGTCCCCGCTGCCTAAGCTGACAGTGGCGCCCACCTGCAACCAGCACTCAGGAGGTGGAGGTGGGAGTGTTGGGAGTTCAAGACCATTCTCAGCTGCTTCCTAGGTTTGAAGCTAGTCTGAGCTCCATGAGATCCAGTAACAAATACAGAGAGACAGACAGACATAGGAATGGGTGGATAGATGGACACACACACACACACACACACACACACACACACACACACACACAATGTGTAATAAGTCTTTACTGGAAACTCCCATCTGCTCTTTCTTCTAACTTCCTTGCCCACCTCGGCAGTTTCTCTCTGTTCTCCTTCCAAGTGCCCCTTATCCCTCCCGGCGCTGGGATTACAGTGTGAGTCACCACACCCAGTTCAGGCTTTCTGTTTCTTCCTACGAGCGTTCACTGGTTTAAGCCCGTGGGAGAATGTGCTCATCTCTCCCTAAGTAGTCTCCTTTGGGTCAGAACTGGGGTCTCTCTCTCTTTTTTTTTTTTCATTGTTGTTGCTTGTTTTTGAGACATCGGCTTGGGAAAATGCTGCTCCATCTGGCCTTCAACTATTTTATTTTTTTATTTTTTTGAGACAGGGCACAAGTATTCCAGGCTGGCTTTGAACTGACTATGTGGCTAAGGCTGGCCTTGAACTCCCGATCCTCCTGCCCCAGCTCCCGAGTGATGAGATTCCAGGCAGGCACCACCACACTTGGTTCTGCATACCAGACAGGCACTATATCATCTGTGGCAAACCCCTAGTGTGACCCTCCAGTCGCCCTGCTGTCTCAGCGTCCCCAGGTCTGAGATCACAGGTGTGTACCCTCACATTTTCAAAATGCCCAGCTGTTCCGTGCTCTGTTGAGGACTTAACACAGAACTGACAGGAAGCCTCAAGAGGTGGTGCTTACACCCCACCCCAGCACTGGGGACGGAGAGACAGAGGGGTCCTAGGGCCTCACTGGCCAGCCAGTCTAGCTCAGGTTCAGTGAGAGACCCTGTCTCAGAAACTAAGGAAGAGAGTGATCAAGAAACACACCTGGAACTGACCTCTGACCTCCACAAGCACATGTGAGCATACGCTCACACACACAAACCCCATGTGAGGGAAGAGAAGATTTCTGGCTCCCAACCTTCACCTGACCCAGAGAGAGGACATGTGTAAAAAGAGCTATAGGGAAGCTGGCCTCTCTGCCCTGGGCTTCAACTTGTTGTTGAACCCCCATACCAAGGCACAGGTCCCCTCTCTTGGCCACAAGCCGAGGGAGACCTCTTTCCCAGTCCACCCACTGCAGGTCCTCACCTCTTTCAGGTTGAACCTCATGTGATGACAGAGGATATGGAAAGGCTTCTGCGAATCCGAACTCTGGGGATGGTAGCCTTTGACCTTAGAGGCCTGGAAAAGCTTTGGGTAGCCAAACTGGTAGTGGGCAGGCAGGGCAAAGCGTAGTCCCTGCTGGTCCCCATAGCGGTGAAGGAGATTGAGCACAGAGCTGCTCCCGGATTTGTGTGTCTTCAGGAACACGAGTCGCTGTCTGGGTAGGCAAGACTTAACAGCTGGTCCCAGGGAAGGGATCCAGGACTGTGGGAGTTGCAGTCCAGGGAGCCTGGAAAGAGAGCGGAAGGGAAGTGACCTGTCCCTCGGCGTTATGTGGAGCAGGTGTGTTCTTGTAATGCACGGAGAATAGGAATGTCCCCTGAGTGTGCACCCCCTCGAGTCACACCCCCAGGTGGGATCAAGGAAGGTGCAGTCAGAGAGGTAGGATTGACAGGGACTCACCTCCTCTGGAATGGTCCCCCCAAGAGCTGGAGGCCAAATCCGATGGTCATGAAGATGCCCAGAGCCACCCCCAGGCTCCGAGGCCTCCAGAGCCTCATGGTCCTGGCAGAAGACAGAGGGCCCGTGTGTCACAAGCAAAGTAACATTAGGCAGGAGTGGAGCCAGGGCCAAGAGCCATGGCCGGCAGAGCCAGCTGGGGATGGGCGTGCAGCCGTGGAAGGCACCTTCTGGAGATCAGGGGATCATCCCCCAGGCCTGCTCGAAGCCCCGGTTGAGCCGGCCCCTGAGTTAGCAGATTTTTGCCTCTGTCAGCGTCTAGAAGGGAAATGAGGGGGGAAGGAGAGGAGTCTAAGGAGAAGGGGAGAACTTTTTCTTCTTCTCCTGCCACTGAGACCTGAGGCAGGGATGGGGAGTAGCCAGGTGTGTGTGTGTGTACGTGTGTGTGTGTGCATGCGCACGCTCGTATACTTGCGTGCTCTTCACACCAGACCCCGGCATCTGTTCCCTGTGCTGTCAGCCTCGTTAGCCACCCTGGAGCTCCTCAACTGCGCTCACCGCCCCCTTTAGGCTTTGGATATTTAAAAGAGAAGGAGATAAAGCCAGGACCCAGATCTCAAATGAGACCGAACCATTCGGTTTGTGGTTATGATCATCGCATGAAGGCACTGTCAGGCTGGGTCCTAGCTGCCTTCTGAGGGGTTCTGTCATTCACAAATAGGAACGAAGAATGTCTCCCCTCCTGCAGCTAGTATAGGGGAAAGCTCAGGAGGAATGGGAGATCAGATAGCAACAGGTTGGGTAACTCAGGAAGAGGAAAGGGGGTAGGTGGGCCTAGAGGAGTGGTGTGAGCCCTGCTGTTCACGTGGGCAAGGCTGCTTCCCAGTTAGCACAAGGCAGACCCCAAGGTCTTAACGGGGCTGGTGGAGATGTGGGTATACAGAGCTCCTGGGCGCATCCCACTTCCTAACCCTATCTATCAGTACACAGGCAGACAGAGAGAGGGAGAGAGAAAAAGGAAGAGAGAAGAGGGAGGAAGAGGGAGAAAGAGGGAGAGACAGGCAGGGAGGAGAGGGAAAGGGAGAGGGAGAGAGATTTATTCTTCTTCCCCGGGCCTTAAACTTCCTGCTTAACTGGAGGTGTAATTCCAGGTTTTCAGATCACACCCTGCAATCAAAGAGCAAGGTCCTTCCAATCTGCTCAGACGGGCCCCCTTCCCGAACTAGTCAGGGTGACCCCAAGAAAAAAAGAATCCAAGCTTGCTGTCCAAAGACCCGCCTCTTTCTGGTGTTATCCCTGGCACAGCCCCCAGGATTCGGCAGGAACTCCCTCCTCTTCCCATCCATCCCAAGCTCCTCTCCTCGTCCCAGCTCGCTGGACCCTCTGCAGCTTTGGTGGCTGCTGTCGGCAGCCTTTTGTTAAGGGTCTTCCGTGACCCCTCCCTAGTCTCCTCCCATATTCAAAGGCCCCTCACCGGTTCCAGCCTCTGTTTCTCTAGCCACTCACCAGGCCATAAGGAGAGCAGTGGAAAAATCAGGTCGCCGGCCCCAGCCACCGCCCGGCTTCTCAGATCAACTTTCCCCACAAACTTTTCTCAACACCCAGACTCCTCCCCCTCCCCTCCCTTTGTCCCGCCAATCCAAGCAGCTGCTTGCTTCTTGCTTGGGCATTGATCGGTCTCTCTGGGTCTCTCCCCTCCCTCCCTGCCCTCTTTACCAGTCTGCTGCAGGGAAAGATGGCCTAGCCTGCCTTTGAAAGATGCCACTTCTACCCTCCTTTCAAATAGGAATCAATTACATCTTTTTCTTTTGGCTTTCCACAAAACAAAAGATTTATTCAGGTGAAGAGAGGGAAGGAAGAAGGGAGACACAGACAGAGACAGCCAGCCAGAGGCTTCTAAGAACTGCAGTCTTACCCTGAAGGCAGGAGCAGTGGGGTGTTAAGTAGGCCTGGTGTCCTGCACATTTTACAGATACTTCCTCATGCAATTCCTGTTTGAGGTCCACAATTCTTTTATCATAGGTTAAGACAATCACCCCCAGGCTTGGGAAATCTGGGGCTCTTTCTTGGGGCTGCATTTTCCCAGGGGACAGACTCCAAGAGGCAAGAAGCAGGTAAAAGCTGAGCCAGAGTTCACAGAGTGAGATTAAGAGTGTGGAGTGGACTGAAAAAAACCACTTTGTGCACGTGTTCAAATCCTCTGCAGCAGTGTGAAGAATGTGGGCTTGGCCACATGTGCAGGTGCGGGTAACTCCAGTGACCCAGGTTCAGGGAGAGCGCTGGTCTCAAGGGGATAAGGCAGAGAGTGGTATAGAAGGACATATGTCGTCCTCTGGCCTCTGGGTGTGCACATACACACCACACACACACACACACACAAGGCCACACACATGGTCCAATAAATTATTATTTATTTAACCAATAAACACTGACTTGAACACTGAGATATGAAATGGAAGCTTGTAAGGATGCAGATGGCAAAGGTCACAAGATGCCCCTCCCCCACACTTAGGAAACATGATTTTTAAAAGAGCCAATAGAACCCAGGTCCACCTCCTCCCCACCCCACCCTCTGCCCCACTGTCAGCACCTAGCTTTGTTGGTTTCCAACTCTGAATCCTCCTCCCTCAGCCTCCCAAATACTAATGGTTTATCGGCATGTGACATCAGTCCAGCTAGGCTTATTGGTCCCTTTTCAATACCAGGTACCCATGCCAACAGTCCCACCCTCCCCACTTCCAAATTCCTTCAACCCTTGCCCAACACCCCACTCCCTGCCTTTTGCCTCAGTGAGCCCCAAGCCTTAAAAGAGCGGAACCATACTCCCTAAATAAATATCCCCAGTTCCCAAATGAAAAAATAAATATTATGAACACCCATCTACTGCCCAACCCACCAACGGGAAACTCCTGGATTCGGGGCCCCAGCCATTCACCCCAAAGTCCCTTTCTACTCCCTCTGTAGCCCCCTTCTGCTCTTCCTCACGCTCAGCTGAGAGAGGTGGAGGGGAAAAGGCCATTAACCCTTCTGATGCCAGGGCACCCCTCCCTGGTTATCGAAGTCCAAGCAGGGTGAGGGCTGAGGGGAAAAGAATGACGGTGAACGGGACGTGGAGACCAAGAGACGATCCCAGATTCCTGCTTCTGCCCTGGTTGTATCTGGCACTGCCACTTCCTCCTCTGACCCCCAGACCGTCCCTTCGAGGAGGACGAGGTGGCCTTGGAGGCCTGGCCGGGGGAACCGCAGGGGCTGACCCAGCTTTCCAGTCGTCTGCGTACTGCTGTCCCCCTCCGGAGCCACTGGCGTCTTCATCTGCCCAGATGGAGAGGAACAGAGATGGAAGGGAGAGAAAGATGTGGCAAAGATGCGGACGGATGGGGAAGTGAGAGGGAATGTAAGTACGTGTTTTTATATATAGGCGCGCATGGAAATGTCAAAATTAATTATGTATTTCATAATTAGTATACCAAAAAAGTTAACGGGCGGCAAGAGAAGGACGCCCAGTAAGGGCAACTGTCAGGAATGCCGGGGGAGGGAATGCATAATTGAACAGCAGACATGGAGATGAAAGACAGAAAAGAGGGAGAGAGGACAGACAAGAAGCCACAGGAAACCAAAGTTGGGGGGGGGGGGGGGGGGGGGGGTGTATCTAAGACAAGACAAGAAAAGGTGAACACGCTTGTTTCTCTTTTTGGCTAATTTCACGGGTGGGATATGGGGTGGGGCGGGGGCAGCCCAGTGGCACCACAGCTAGCTTCCCTGTCCCCAGTACTGCTCTTTACAGCAACTTTCCTAAGTGATCTCTGGAGGAATGTTTGTGTCTCCCACTGCAATCAAGGATGGAGACCTTCGAGGCTTAAGTGAATAGGAATGAACGAAGCTAATTAATGCCAGGAGGGGAGGAATGGGGGGTGAAAAGGGAGCTCGCGGGGCAATGAATGGGACTCAAAGGCGTGGAGACGCAGTGGGGAGGGGGTGTCGAGAGGAGAAAGAGGGCAGTGGGCGGGACCTGAGACGCACTGGCAGGTCAAGGGGCCCGCGCAGGGTGGGTTTCCGGGGCCTCACCCTCATCATGCATGTCAAGGTCCTGACCCAGCGCAGCCGCCTTCATCCGCGCCGTAGCCGCTCGGAGATGTAGCCGCCGCCGCCGCGTCGGGACGTCTGGACCCGAGGGCTCTAACTCCGGGTTGCGGAGCTGCTCGTTCAAGGCGCCCACGACCACGGGCGACAGATACCTGGGAGCACAGCGGCACGTCGGAAGATCCCGCGGCGCCCCGCTCCGCCCGAGATCCCCGCGGCCCGCCGGAGCCCGGCCACTCACCGGCCTCTCCCCACGCCGGTCCAGCAGGGAGCCGCCTCCTGCGAGAGGTCGGCCGCCATGCGGGCGTCCGCGCACACCGTCACGGGCAGCCCGGCCCAGAAGCCCCGCACTCGGCTCAGCCTCTCGCGGAGCTCCCACACCTGCCGGACGGAAGACAGCGCCGCTGGGAACCGGGACCCACCCGCGCCCGCCCGTGCCCGCCAGCTCCCGCAGCGGCCCTCTGCGCACCAGACGGTGCAAATTAGTGCCCGCCGCCGTCGTGGGCCGCTCCTCCTCGGCCGCCGCCCTCCACGACCGGCTCGCCTCTTCTCTGGGCGCCGGGGCTCGCCGGCTACGGGACTGCACCGGATGGGGGGTCCCGCACTCCTGGAACACCTGTGCACAGGAAACGCCTCAACAGTCCCCCGAGGCAAACCACACCGGGTGCCACCTCTGCCCTATTGTTTCTGCCACCCACACCGTCCTCCTTCCGCACTTCCCTCTCTGTACCTTAGCTGACACCTTTCCACTGTTCTCCTGCAGGTGCATCAAACCTTCTGAGATCTTCACCCCAATGGACTCAGCAGCCAGCTCAAAGGAAAAGGGTCCCTGGAGTTTCTCAGCCAGCAGCAGGAGACCATCTTGAGGGAAAGGGAGAAAGAGAAAGGAGACCGTAGGGGGACAGTGCTGAACTAAGATGTTCCCACAAATCTCCCTGGGGCCTTTAAAAGGAAAGAGCGATTTGCTTGCTTGTAAGTAGCCTGTGTGACTGCATGAGAAAAGCCCCCTCCCTCTCCGCTCTCCTGCCCCGTTTGGTTTTAGGCCCCCCTCTCCTTACAGTGCCCCCCCACCTTACTCAGGGCCCTCTTCTAGGGCTTTCTTGAGCCCCCTCACCCAGATATCCGCCCCACTCGGGCTCCAGTCCCCTGCTGCTGAGGCAGCCATGGGCCACATTGAGGCAGAAGCCCCGGCAGGGCAGAAGCGAGGGGACTCCCCGGCAAAGTGGGCATCCGATCAGACGCATCAGGGCCTGCCTGCAGCCTTCCACCACGGGCACCTGGAGGTAGAGAACGGCTCTGGGCATCCATGAACACCGAGGCTGCTCTAAGCAGGCCTGGTGCTGGGCATACAAAGGTCAAAGATCCTGACCCACCTCCCCAGGCTGGCTGTTGGATGCTGGGTGTGAGCAACTGTGCCTGGTGACCCCATGTGGCACCCAGCGATAGCACAGGACTGCTACAGGGCCGAGAAGGGGTACCTAGAGGCAAGCTTGCTGATTCAGCCTCACCAGAGGGGTTTGACTAGGGTGTTACTGGGGAGGAGGCGTTAAGAAAAGAGTCAGGGCCCCAAGATGACTGAGGAGAGAGGCAGGAGGCAGGAGGTGAGGTTGGGGACAGGACCAGAGATAGAGAGAGGCTTTCAGCAGAGGGAAGAGGGGCTCACTACAGTCTTGAACTGCTGTGGAAATGAACAAGCCTCCAAGATGGGCAGAGAGCATGTGTGTCACCAAAGGGGAGGACCAAGTCAGGGGAGACCATGGCACACACCCAGTGGGGGCCTGACTCTGGACACCAGGGCTCAGGAGCAGACAAGAGACAGCTCCAGGCCTCTAGGGCAGCTGGCCCCTGTCTTCTTCACTCCCTGGGCTCTGTCCGTATCCACGGCCCCGCTAACCTTAAGTGCTTCACTGACCACATTTCTTCCCGTCTCCAGACCCTGGACCAAGGCCCGGGCTGCCACCAGTGCCCGGGTTATCTGGGGGAAAGAAGATGAGAGAAAACAACAACACAGAAATTATTATGAGTTAGTTAAGACTAGAGCTGGGAGACAGTAGGAGCTGGTTTATGGGGCGAGCTTGGTGTGGTTACCCTGTTGGGTGATACAGAGAGGGAGGTTCAGTAGGCCCAGAAGGAAGGATAGTCTGGAAGGACCGGGCGTTCGGAAGGAGCTGGTGGGTTTGTGTTGTGCACGGACTACAGACAGACTGTGTATCAGAACACTGAAGTTAAAGTTAGAGGACCAAGTGTGAGGCTCAGTACCACGACTTGTTGGCTATGAGACTGGCTTGGGAGGCCCATTTTCTCCTCTATAAAACGAGGACACTTTGATTTACCTCAAATAGTCATGGTGACAATTCAATATGTTACTGTAAGCAAAAACGATCCCCAACTGTGGACTGCCCAATTCTTGTTTAGTTGAACCCCAGGAGACCTCTGGGTTAGGATTAGGGAGGTGTGGGCAGAAAGCTGGGGGCGGAGGGCCAAGAGCTT